CATGCGCAAAACTCACCTTTTTTCGGTGCCGCAGCACCCTCGAATGTGGCGCACCCTGCCGCGTTGTTGGCGAAAGACAGGCGCAGTCGCTGCGTGTCCTACCCTGCCCACCGGGCGTTAACGCATAAACCACGGAGCCAATGGACAGTAGTACCTGCCCCGGGTGGTTTGACCGGCCAGATGTTCTTTTGGTGTGAGGATCGACCATCGACCCAGAACGTCCATCGACCTGGAACCCCCAAACGAAACCGGCGAACCTCTGGTAGAAACTGAAGTAAACCTTGGAAACAACGTTTAACTCCTGGTTTCTTAGGTTGGTAGATACTCTTTAGAGTAGACCTCTGGCTGCTAGTGGGTTCTTCTCATCGGCAGGGTAGGCTTCTTTCGCCAGTGCCCTCCGATGAAACAGGTCGGTTCGGGTTCCGAGGCTTCTTCCTCAGCCGGTTGAACGAGGTCTCAGTTGGTAGATCCACACAAACCAACAACACACTGATCATCTGACCACCCCAAAAGTAGGGAATTCAGACGACCAGAAGCCTCAAAAACAACCAAATTGGATGATGTGACCCCTTGAGAAAGAACACTCCTCTGACTCTTCTAACAAACCCCTAGGGCTCCGTTTTCGTGCCTCCTCAGGGTTGCTATGACTGGACCCTGGCCCCCAGGCCCCGGTCCTCCCATCAAACCTCCGGTTCGGAACGACGAACGCGGCCCCACGGTGCAACAGGATTCCACCATCCACCAATTCCAAAGGTTGAAAGACCAGGAGGACCCTGGTCTGTGGTACGGATGGGCGACCTGGATGGGCTGTGAAAAACCTCTCTTGGTTGTTTCGAGCCACGAAGGACCGGCCTCCACTCCTTGAGCTTTTCACCATGCTGTGTGAAGACTGAGTCAATCCACAGCCGCCTGAGACTCGAGCAGTCCCAGGTTCGGCCGCGAGCACCAGGGTTTTGTGTATGGTCTGGCTGGGCGCCACCCCGATGTCCTTAAAGGTCCCTCAGGACTTACCCAGTGGATCTAGGACTGGAAATCGATGTTGCTGGGAGTCGCAGTCTGAACCAAACAACCAGAGTGAGTCAATAGAGAAATCAGCTGCAGCTGGAACAGGTGCTTCATTCTGTGCCACCAACTTGTCGGGTTCACTGCAAAACTCGGGTGACCATATGTGATGTACAGAACACCTCCACGAGACTTGGATTCCTCGTTGGGGTTTCCACATCAGGAATCGTCCATAGAATCCACCACAATGAAACAACCGCCATCCATGTGTGGAATATATGCAACCACATTTTCAACCACCCTACATTGACACCTACATTGGTTATGGATAGGAAACCGGGACCTGGGATAGAATAGGTTGAGAGCGATTTAGCACCTGTTTCTGCCCCTAGGGCTCCAGTCGTACCTTGTAATAAGGTGTTTGATGGTGTTTGGGGTTGAGGTACTTGGAGGTGTCGGGTACCATACATGGAGTGTCTGGACAAGTTATATCTGATATTTAAAAAAAAACCGCCCACTATCGCAGATTCAGCACTCCAACTCTCGCCCAGGCGCGTGATGCCCGAAGAGATGGTCAAAGCGATCCTGCCCGTTGCGAGCCGACGTGGGTGGCTCCCAAGGGAGCCGAGGTATCGCCAGACGTACACGATTGCAATCGTGTACCGGCCGGCCGGGATGGTACGATTGGAAGAATATAGTCCTGAAATATCGGGATCAGTGGTAGCATCTACACCTATCCCAACGGGATCCCAAACAACCACTACATAAGGAAGCAAGCGGGCCAGCGCCCGTTCCGTTTCAGTCGACGGATTGAGTCGAACTGGAACCCCTGGTGACCTATACCCCAAACACGACTAATGGGACTGCCATAGATGCCGCCCCATTGACCCCCATGGCACCACCCCTGGCCGTTTCTCGGTATAAGACTATAGTTGGACTGCTGGATCCACTGGGTATTGGTCGTACACGCTGCGACCGGGGCCTCTTCTCTATGGCCAAGAGGGTGATCCACGGTGTCACTCCACAGCGTGAGGGCTGTCCGTGCTACGTCCCAGCTGTCTGTTGAGCCTTCCTGGAAATGAACATGGACATGGAAACCCCCCTGTTGGTATAGAGGAAATGGATGGACATGGGTGTCTTCAAAGCCATGGTCCACTTCCACGCTGATTCCAGGGAGGAGAAGTACATCAAAGCCATCCATATCAGGTGTCCCGGAGCAAAGGCTCCATTGACCGTCATTGACCCTCAAGTCCTCAAGCCCTATGGAGCCACATACCTTCTGAGAAGGAGATTGGAGACTATTTATATAGCCGCCAGGAGGGCGCAGCCGTACCTTCTGAGAAGGTGGCAGTGGCTCCACACCTCGTCATGTCCATATCTTGGCTGAAAGCTCTCCAGATCACATGGGCTTTCAGGTGGCTCTCCCACTGGGTATGTTCTAAAGCTTCATCCGACAGAAACTCACAGTTGGAATCAAATCGTCAGGTCATACTTGGGAAACTCCGTGCCTTTCGAAACCTGAACAGCAAGAGCCATAGCCAAACAATCGATTATGTGGAACATGCGCCTTATTTAGATCATTTAAGATGCTTTTAGTTTTGGGCCCAATGTTGGTAGACAAAAAAAACAACATACAATGGATTGTTCCTGCTTTTCTTAGTTTGGCACCAAAACCCCGACCCAAATAACTTGAAACCCTGGGGTTCTGTATCAACCACCCACCCAGCGAGTTCAGATGCTGGTGCGGACATCCAACGTCGCCCCGGTGAAGTGCGGTTCCACGAGGATGTGGGGATCCGAGAGGCAGCAGGACGATGCCAAAGGCAACCTCTAAGCCCATGATCCTTGTGGCAGGCAGGATGTCTGGAGCCTGGGGAATAGCTGATATTTGTGTAGGAGAGTGATATGATAAGTAAATATAAGTTGGATAGTGTGATATGATGGAATCTGTCGATCAGGTGTGTGCATAGTAATTAACTATATATATAGCTCGGTTGTCTAAGATATAGCCAGGGATTTGGAGTTTTTTTGGCTTTGCGGAACCGACCGCCGTGGGTCCGACGTGTGGATTCATGTGGAAACAAAGGGCATATATGGGGTATATCCCATTGCCAGGGCCTGAAGGATGAATGATGGTTGGGTTGTAGGCCTTGTAGGCCTAATAGTGATACATAATGGTTTACCGACTGTTGCAGGTAATAGGACAAACACAAGACTAAACATACAGAATAGAATGTGTGGGTCTTGCCAGCTGCGTGAGGCAACCACTGGCTGGCCAGTTGGCTGGCTGGGTCAGCATCGTCAGGGAGGTGAGGGGTACCAGCCAAGGATCCAAAACCAATGGACCTGGCAACGCTTTTGATTCAATGTTTTTGTGTTTTTTTTCTCGCATGACTTTGAAGACCCTTTCATCTTCTGTACTGAAGGTAGGAAAGCCATCCCAGCCAATCATGGGGAGAATAGGCCGCCAAAGTTGGAAAAAGCTAGCCAAGTTGTGTAAAAACTATCACCCAACACTTGCCTTGTGGATCTAGTGGTTGATAGTGGTTGATTGATGTTGGTAGTATCTCTCTCAGAGCTCGGTACTGACTTGTGTAACGGTGGCTTTCCTTTTTTGCTCGGGCATCCAGGAAGGAGGCAGGGCTTAGCCCTATAAGGAGCGAATCAACTAGGGGTGTTCAATGAACGAATCAGAATACATCTGTAGTTTACTAACCCAGATTGTCCATGTAAGGAATAGTTACCGCTGTATACACAGTTACCCCATTGATGCCCGTAGGTACCTATTCCAGTCACTTGGACGGTCTGAGCTCCAAAGCTGGAACTCACCAGACGAGCGCCCCAAAGGCCAAGGCTCCAAAGCCACCAGCCTCGCACGAGCCAGGCCAGGAAGAGGGACGCCACCAGCGCAATGGCTGCAATCTTCCAACCTGCGGCCGCAGGTTAGTGACACGTGGGACGTCTTCGGGTGTGAGAAACCTTGCGAGAATTCAGGTGTGAAGCAGTTATTTGTGGGACTTCAATGGATGAAGTGTGAATTGAACGCTTGAAGTGGGTCATGACATAGTCCCAAATCATTTACATCTAAACCTGGGATTAGGAAGCTGGAGGTGTTGGACTGTGCCCTTTGAAGGGGTAGCCGGGTAGTCGCTACATTTCGCCAAGAATCTATCTTACTACGTCACGGCTGGTAGAAATGAGTTTGGGGAGCCCTTCTTGAGTTTCCGCAAAACCTGGCTACTATATCACCAGCTCAAAATGGCCGTGCACTTCTTTCCCTCCTGCACACCTGCATGAGTACACGGCCAGTGGATGGATGATTTTCTCAAATCGTGGTTCATATAAGCCTTACAGGTCAAAGGCTTTTTCTGGAGTTGGTCATGCCCCAAAAACAAGAACATAAAACACATAACACAACTCAAAGAGCTAAAGGACAATTGTTTTACTGGGCCTTTTAATTAAATTGTATTCATGGGTGATTTCAGGGCGCACTTCTGAGCACAATCCTAGTACATCAACTTATTAGATCTTATTATATAACATAACATTAATCAACATACCTGGAGTCGACCCGGAACTCGTACCTGGGAACATGGGGCCCCAGTCGTATCATGTCGTACCTGTCTTTTTTATGGGGTCATGTCCCATTTTCTAAGGTACTGGGTCAGTCGGGTCCAGGTATATTGATACCACACCTCCGTCGATTGGCCCGAACTGGTGAGGAGAACTGGTGGATCAAACCAGGTATAAGCTCTGCTCTCGAATGCTCGAATGCTCTCAGTCTACCGAAATGGGACTGGTCCAATGACCTGCCCCGTTTGGGCTCCGTCGTCCCATATCCTCAGGTGACCGGTGGTATTCGACCCCCCTGGCACCCACCCCTGTCCCATCTTCGAAACGGAGGTGGGCTGTTCGGAGCCCAAACGGGTGCTACGCCACAAATGACTCGCACGTCGCCCGTCATAAAACACCGCCCAAAGACTGGGATGCCGAGGGGCTCTCGAAGAAGTACTGGGGGCTCACAATCTCCGAGACCAAATAGAAGACACAAACCTCAGCAAAGCTACAGGCTATTATACCCAGACACTCCATGTCTGTCATATATGCCTACATTGACCCCTCTGGCACCACCCCAATGTAGGTAAATATATATAGTGACCTGAAAGACCCGTAACCTGGGGAACCTATAGGCCTTATAGAGGGTTCTGGTTCTTCAAGCGTTGGCATCAGGGAGACACTTTCGATGAAGTGTGCTGAGACGGTCGGTGGGATGATGCTCTTTTTGATTTTGTTTTGTTGTTGACCTCCATCCAGTGAATAATTAGGTGCATGTGCCATAGGCCACCGGCTAGACCGTACAGCTGCGTGAAGAAAACAAATGCTGTTGACTTGTTGGAATCATCATGGGGGCGGGGGTTTGTGGATGGAGTGGACGGCCCCTGACATCGTTCCGTTCAGACCAGATTATAGCCAATGGTAAAGTGCAACACCTAGGAATGGTCGGTGGATATATATATATATAGAGAGAGAGAGAGAGGGAGAGAGAGAGAGAGATCATATATGGCTATCTTCAAATTTGAATCCGCTCACAACAGGAAGGAGGCACAGCTGGTTCATCTCCTACACCCGGTCCGCAGGTTATCTTCGATGGGCAAAATATATGCAGCGTCTGTCCACTACCTAGATTATATATCGTAAATTATTGTATGTACGGCAACCTCACAATGATGTAATGACGAGACAAATGAGATGGGTTTCCAAACACTGGCACTCGGCCCCCCTGGTTTCTTGAAGTCTTCACAGGGAATAGAAACAGCTTCCAAGACATGCTTCTCAAGAGAAATCACCGCAAATCTCACTCTTCTCCTGGAGCCACTCTACAGGATTCCCCTCCAGTAAGGCTCTGCAGGTCAATTCGGGCCAGGGCACGGTGTCGGAGAGAAGGGACCAAAGCCAATTCAGGACGATCACCTTGACGAACGAAACCGAAAGAAGGAAGATCGGGTCAGGCGAAAAGAACACATCTAGCAGGGAGATGCAGGGGGAAGTCGATGTGAAGTTCATAGACTTGGATAACCTCCCAACCTCCCAGGTTTCAGTAAATGATGGTTCGGTTGTAGGCCGACATCTGGAAAGAGTTATCATCTCTTACCCGGACACCGTAGTCATCACAGGACTGAAGCAGTATGATCAGGACTGAAGCGTGACTCTGTGACTCTGTCTGGTCGTGACCCAAAATCAGGCCTGTGCGTGACCCAAAATCGCGGAAACTCAAGTTCGGTCACTTTCCTTAGGGCTTCTGTCCCACATCCTCAGGTTAGGGTTAGACCCTCCTGGCACCCACCTGATGTGGGACAGGAGCCCTAGGATTTGAAGGTCTTGGTCCGGTTTGCTTCTGGGAGCGGATCCGAGTCCTCCCTCTCCGTTTGGGCACAGCCGAAACAAGCAAAGCCCTCGGTGGAAGAGGACCATATATGAGGTGGAAAAGAAGGCAAACACATATTGTGCAAGGACAAAAACAAGCAAACATGGTGCAAGTGCAAGGACACAAAATGCAAGGACAAACCTTTGTTTGCAATATTTAGAAAAAGGTGCAAACACTTCAAGAAGGTGGAAAAGGACAATCTATGAGTCCAACAGTCCAACAAACAAATCATGTTCAAACCTTGCTGAGTGGGGATCTTGCTGCGCATATTCAAAAATTCAAGACATTGGTGGAGGGTGCGGAACCCTTCAACAACTCTGCAGTCATATAGACATGAGAAACTAAGAACTCGCAAGAACATCATGTCCTCATGAACCTTCCAAATTGACACCATGGGGAATGTTTGCAAGATCATTTGGTTTGGCATCCTGGAGCAGCCCCACTCCAACACCCCAAAAAACACATCAATAAGTAGTTTGGATCAAACATGATCTACCCCCTTTCTTCTTGGGACTTGAACCCTTCGCAGTTCGTCTGGTTTCCTACTCTCCAAGAGACGACGTCGATGACGAAGAGGTTCACGAACAAGGACATGACCTGGCGAGTCCAACGACCCGGTACTGGTTTCGGTCTCGATGCGGTCGTCGCCCCTTTCAGGATCCATAAAAAACCCAAGGCACACCATACAAGGCCCTACTAGTAGGGATCAGGTTCGAACCTCAGGTTCGGTACGACTGGACCCTCCTGGCACCTACATCAATAGTCTCCGAGGAGGTACTTGGAGCCCTAGGGATGGCATACCATGGCCACAGGGAAATTGAGAAGCAAAAACCACATGTTCGTGTTGCGTACCTCGGTTATTGTCCCTTAGATCTCTTAGATCTTCCGCTTGTGGAAGCGTACCTAGGGCTCCAGTCGTATCTCGTGATCAGGTGTTGGGGGTTTGGTGCCATCTCCGGGTCCAGTCATACCTTCGTTTCGGAGCTACGCCCTTGGAGCCCAAACGGGACCTGGTATACCTCATGTATACCTCATCCTCCTCACCTCCTCATTGGGAGAAGACCGGACCCAGTGACCTCGACAGGGGTGCCCGTCCGCACCTCCTCCGATCGCGCGCTAAACTGCCCAAACCTCGGAGGGGGCGAGAGATGGCGAGAGCAGTCCAGATCATGATGTATGTAACTACCAGCCGCCCTCCCTGCCAGGTCGGGTTCCTGCCAGGTCTGAAGCAGGGGCGAACGCCCCAAGAGGTCGAACCACCTGTGAAGTCGGATGTAGGTAGGTGTGTTCGATCTCTTTTTGTTTCAGGAGATGCTTCATGATTCTTCCAGGGCGTGACGCCTGTTGCCGGCCTGGCTGTCAATACGCTCACAAATGCAGATCTGTCAGTGCCCTCATAACAATTCAAACATTGAACAGTTAATGCATGTTAATAAGAGTCTGTGAATACATGTAATTCTCTTGAACCGCTTCACCCTCAGCTCGCTTTCTCGCAAACATCGAGTGCTTGCCCGGTCGGTTTTGGCAGGGGATTCGGGATGCGCCACGGCATGTGCCGCGCGGCTTGGCGTCGGCGAAGTAGAGCACCACGGCCACCAAGCCAAGGAGGATCAACAATCGACCGATCCTCGGCTCCGAGGATCCGGCCCACGATGGGGTTCCCCGAAACCCTGGAGACTCGGGTTGGGTGTATGGATCGCCGACCGAAACCACACCCAAACACGACTAATGGGACTGCCATAGATGCCTACATGGGGATTGAATCTACACTCGTCACAGCAGTTTCGTATATACATGGCATCCAAGTTTGGACCTGGTGGCCACAGGTAGACAGTAGACAATCGACACTCCCTGGAACGGCCCCATGGGCCGGATGGCCTGGCCCCGAGTTCAGACCATGAACTCCACGTAACCAAACAGGTGAACTCCTCGTTGGCCCATGTGAGTTCTAGGAAGAGTAATGAACTAGCCCCCCCCCTTTCGCACCAATGGTTTTTGTGGTCATGAATGTTCACCGGGTTGGGCTTGAGGAACTGGTTGAAAGACTGGTTGATGGGGTCTCTCTATACTAAAACACACACACAATCCTTCAGGGATTCCAACTGACAGAGGCGGACAGGTGAGATCCTTTCATGACGAGTCTAAGAACGTATGTCTTGATGTATCTATGTTGGGATTGAGGTACTTGGAGGTGTAGGGTACCATACATGGAGTGTCTGGACCAGTTATATATACCTGGACCCGACTGACCCAGTACCTTAGAACATGGGACACAACCCCATTAAAAACAGGTACGACTGTACCCATTTTCCGGGGTACTTTGAGACTCCAGGTATATATGTCTTGAAGATATTGAATATATTTTGAGATACTGTTGGTCTAGGTCCCTAGGCTGGCCCTCTCCATCTACGTTGCCGACAAGTGGAAGACACAGTGCCACAGCCAAACATCATTTACTGTAAAGTAATTTGAGTATTTCTTAGATCGTCGCTTCTTTCCAATATATTCACACCATGATTTAGTGAGGCCGGATTAAAACGTGCAAATCAAATTAATGATGAGGTGTCACGTTGTCCACCTGTGGCATGGAGTGCCTGGATAGCAGCACACCTGCGCAGGCACCGTCCTCCATCAGTGGGTGTGGAGCCTGAATCATTCCAATGTTCAGCAACCCTGGGGCTCCAAGTGCCTCCTCAGAAGGTATTTGGACCCTCCAAACCCACCTCAAACACCTTCTTAGAAGGCACTTGGAGCCCAAGGGTAAGTGTCACCCTTGAAACAGATGCAACATGATGCAACCAGTCAAACTCTTCACCAAGCTTGGAGCCTGGCTATCCACCCCCAGGGTTTATCTCTGACCGGCTGCGAGTTCGCGGCATACCGTACACAGCATAGCAGTGTGTCTTCCGCACACCCTATACCAACCCACAGGGTTGCAGGACCTCCAGTGTCCACCTGGAAGTCTAACCAAAGCGTTTCAGCCCTTTCACCCACGACCTCGACCGACCGACCGACCGACGTACTCTGCGGGCGGAGGCTCCAGACCCAGCCGACCAGCCAAAGCACCAGGCGTGCCATCACCGTCTTCCTGGGACAGTGGACGGGTGACGTCTTCAACCCCTGGAGGGTCCTAGAGAAATGGGGTGGTTTAAAAATAACAAACATCGGGGTTTGTGCCATCTACTCTCAATCCACTATACCTGCTGACTCCAAAGGGCTACTTTTTTCTGCTGTTTCAAGGAAAAGCGCTTTTTCAGAGAAATTGTATCTTTTTTCGCTTGCGAGCGCTTTTGCTATTTGGCTAGTTTTATTGGTATTTGCAACCGGATCAAGATCTAAGCAGATCTAAGATGGAGAAAGATTCTACAAGATGAAACAATCGGTTGGCAAGATCAATGTTGGGAAGATTGTCAGTGTTTCTACGTCCAAGTGTCCAAGTGACATCAATTACCTCTACTCAATAAAGGCTTCACCAGCTATGTCGGTCTCCAACTGGGAGCGTGTGGCATCAATCGGATGTGTGCTGCTGACATGTTTGTGGTTCATCGTTGTGAGGCAATTGCAGCAGTGGCAGCACTTGAATAAATGTTGCACTCCGGCCATAGTAGTATTTTGAGGCTCAATCCGCTTTGCCGCTTTTACTTTAGGTGTTTGTTGGCACACATGACCAACTTAGCAGAGATGCTGGAGAATGACCCTGTGATCCGCAACATTGTCAGGGCAGAGGGAAGGATTACTAAATGGCCGGAGAACCAAACAGGGGTGCCGAGCTGCAAGAGCCTAGTCTGTAACTGCAGGGCTTTGGAGCTAGTGGCGGCGTGGTGGATTCCTCAAAGCGCTTTGCCAGCTACCTTCGGCATTCACTTGATCAGAAACCAGGACAAGTGTTGGAAATAACCATGCAGCAAATAATTGTGGAAAGCCTGTATTAATTTGTAGCAAAAACATTGGATAACATCATTGAATTGCTGTCACTTTCTTGCCTGACAGGTTCAGCAGTTTCGCCAGATCTCTGGGCTGGGAGCATCGAGTGGACACGAGTCGGTCGATGCATGGGGACTAAAGAAGTTGTTCAGCCATTTGCTTCGACGCTGGCTCAGCGGCGCAGGAGCTCCACGAGTCTCTTTGCTTTCATTCATGGCTGTCTGTCTATGTTTTTGTTTTTGTTGTTTGCTTTTGGGGGAGGGTCATGCTCATTCGCGGCCTTAAACAAAACAAGGCTAGTGAACTTCAGCAAGTCTGGGGAATGCTTGATGATGCCTGGGGAAATGCCAATGTCAATGGTGCTGGTGTTGGAGATGGTTTATCAGACCCAGGGGACGACAATGATGGCTCAGGTGGTCATGCTGTCGATGATGAAAGGGTCGTGGACAGCCAGCGTTTGCCAGATGATCATTTGCCAGATGAACCCATCCTGATCGTTGACAGCCAGTACCCTGATGATCCCATCGAGTACCCTGACACCCAGCCAGATGATCCGATTGAGGACTATGACGCCCAGTTTTTGCCAGATCAACCTCCTGGTGACTGCCACGAGAATGACAGCCAGTTGCCAGATGAACCTGTTGAGTACACTGACAGTCAGTACCTGGATGAACCTCTTGAGAACGCTAGCACACAGGTGCCAGAGGAACCTGTCCTTGAGGATTGCATGGAAGATTGTGCCTATCTGTGTCACAAGCCTCTCGTGGCAGAACCTGCCTTTGAGCCTGATTACGTTGAAGATTTTATCATGCCCATTGCGACTCACCCACGTCAGACCCATGGTGGTTCTCAGGGCGATGCTCCTGATCCTCATCGTTCTCAGGAGAATGCCACTGAAGAACCCCCAAAGGATGAAATGCCTTCATCCCATCCTTCTTCAGCTGGTATTGGTGCGGTTTCTTCAGAGGCAGTTGGGAATCCCAAGACAACTCCTGCTGTCGTGACTCCTGGTCAGACCAATTCACACCTTGGCACAGGGGTTGTGCATGTTGGTGAGTTACCAAACCTGAACCTTCAGCTTCCACCTCGTGATGACCCGGCAAAGGACCAGATCCGGCAGGAAATCCTATCCAAGATCCGGCAAGTCAGGCCTGGTTTTGGAAGCTCAGCTTATTGTTTGTTAAGTGCTACTTGCATAACAAGGGTCGGTAGTAAAAACCAAACAAGCCTAGCCTGACAGCACCCCTGCAGTTTCAAGATGGCGCAGCGTGAGATGCATCGTGGAAAGTCTAGTATCGTGCCAAACTTCTGTAAGTTTTGCTGTTTGTGTTTGGTGTGGTTCTGTTTTGCTGTAGTTGTTTTAAAAGAACATGAACTCGGTCTGAAGGTATTTGCCTTGACACTTCGGACACCCTGCCGATGGACACGCAGGAGGTCCAGTCGGCGGCCGTACCATTTAGATTGGGTGAGCCTATCGAGATCGATGACTCTCAAGAAGTCGAGGAGCCCATGAAGTCAGAAAAAAAGGAGACACCCTGCCTGTCCACTGCTCCTCAGATGGTAAACCACAATTGAAAAGTTGTTAGGGCGATACTTACCACCAAAGCATATGGCATGCAAAATGCAAACCACCTTTTTGTCAACAAGTTTGTTTTTTCACGGAATCCCATTCATTTCAAGCTAGGCTGAACCATGTGATGTGGTGCCTGCTGCCTCAGCGACCTTGGAGCAGAACAGTGGGAATGTGGTAGCTTCTTCCTCCTCGTCCCAGCAGGAAGCACTGCCTTCTCAAGCCTGCACTACTGGCAACCATGTTGAGGAGCCCAAGGAGGACAGCTCTTCTTTGGGCAAGTCAATGGCTGCCAAGAAGAATGCAGACCCAGATGTGGCCAAGCTTTTGGAGATGAAGGAGAGCTGTTTGCAATTTGTTGAAGTTTTACTCTCAGCTTTCAACTTCCCACTGGGAAAGCTGAACTAAGGGTTGGCCTGGGTCTAAGTAAGTAAGTGTCCTTTGCCCTTGTTCGCAGGAGCCACCTTTGACTTTGCGCAGGGAGCAGTTGAATTCTGACTTCAGGATGAAGAAGAAGGGGGGCGAAACAGGCGCTGACTTGCCTGACGCAGAGCAGACCAAACTGGGGGACTATGTGGAGGGAGACGAGTCGTGGGACCCAATCGTCACTCCAAAGCAAGCTGCAGCAAAAGCGAAGGCTGCAGCCAAAGCCAAGGCGAAAGCCAAGGCTAAGGCGAAGGTCGAGAAGGTATTGGCCAAAGCCAAGTCGCAAGTTGCCAAAGCTAAGGCTGTGGCAAAGAAGGTGAAAGCTGATGCAGCCAAGGCGATTCGTGAGGCAAAGGTCGCCAAAGTCAAGGGCGCTGAGGCTGAGTCTGGTTCCAAGACAACGTCTTCGAAAAATGAATGTGATGAACGAAAGCCTAAAAGGGCACGGAAGACAAAGGCTGAGACTGAGAAGAACAACAGCGCTGAGAAGGACAATACCGAACAGGCCAAGGAGGCTACCAAGGAGGTGAGTTCCAAGACTTTTGCTCGCCGCTACGTGGGCGCTCCAAAGATCAAGGCTATTCGTGACATCTACATGGAGCACCTTGCATCGAAGCTTGTGAAGCAGTCGGCGTTGCAGGACCAAATGGTTGGGGTACATTTTTGTTTTGGAGGTAAAAGTGCTGTCCTTTTGAGCAACAAACACT